GTCTCGGCGCACTCGCACCAGCGAGCTGTCTCGGCGCACTCGCACCAGCGAGCTGTCTCGGCGCACTCGCACCAGCGAGCTGTCTCGGCGCACTCGCACCAGCGAGCTGTCTCGGCGCACTCGCACCAGCGAGCTGTCTCGGCGCACTCGCACCAGCGAGCTGTCTCGGCGCACTCGCACCAGCGAGCTGTCTCGGCGCACTCGCACCAGCGAGCTGTCTCGGCGCACTCGCACCAGCGAGCTGTCTCGGCGCACTCGCACCAGCGAGCTGTCTCGGCGCACTCGCACCAGCGAGCTGTCTCGGCGCACTCGCACCAGCGAGCTGTCTCGGCGCACTCGCACCAGCGAGCTGTCTCGGCGCACTCGCACCAGCGAGCTGTCTCGGCGCACTCGCACCAGCGAGCTGTCTCGGCGCACTCGCACCAGCGAGCTGTCTCGGCGCACTCGCACCAGCGAGCTGTCTCGGCGCACTCGCACCAGCGAGCTGTCTCGGCGCACTCGCACCAGCGAGCTGTCTCGGCGCACTCGCACCAGCGAGCTGTCTCGGCGCACTCGCACCAGCGAGCTGTCTCGGCGCACTCGCACCAGCGAGCTGTCTCGGCGCACTCGCACCAGCGAGCTGTCTCGGCGCACTCGCACCAGCGAGCTGTCTCGGCGCACTCGCACCAGCGAGCTGTCTCGGCGCACTCGCACCAGCGAGCTGTCTCGGCGCACTCGCACCAGCGAGCTGTCTCGGCGCACTCGCACCAGCGAGCTGTCTCGGCGCACTCGCACCAGCGAGCTGTCTCGGCGCACTCGCACCAGCGAGCTGTCTCGGCGCACTCGCACCAGCGAGCTGTCTCGGCGCACTCGCACCAGCGAGCTGTCTCGGCGCACTCGCACCAGCGAGCTGTCTCGGCGCACTCGCACCAGCGAGCTGTCTCGGCGCACTCGCACCAGCGAGCTGTCTCGGCGCACTCGCACCAGCGAGCTGTCTCGGCGCACTCGCACCAGCGAGCTGTCTCGGCGCACACGCACCAGCGAGCTGTCTCGGCGCACCCGCACCAGCGAGCTGTCTCGGCGCACCCGCACCAGCGAGCTGTCTCGGCGCACCCGCACCAGCGAGCTGTCTCGGCGCACCCGCACCAGCGAGCTGTCTCGGCGCACCCGCACCAGCGAGCTGTCTCGGCGCACCCGCACCAGCGAGCTGTCTCGGCGCACCCGCACCAGCGAGCTGTCTCGGCGCACCCGCACCAGCGAGCTGTCTCGGCGCACCCGCACCAGCGAGCTGTCTCGGCGCACTCGCACCAGCGAGCTGTCTCGGCGCACTCGCACCAGCGAGCTGTCTCGGCTTCAATACTGTAGGGATAGGCACCAAGTTTGCATATCCCTCAGTGGCTATTAACATAGGCACACAGTTAGCGTATCACGCGGACTTCAACACTGTAGGCATAGGCATCAAGTTTGAATACCTCTCAGTGGCTGTTGACATACAAATTTAGCGTTAATTAGTACCTGAAAAACCTTTTTCATATTGGATTTTACTCCAAGTAGTGTTAATGTAAAATTTTAAGTACACAACAGTCCAAGCAAAAGACTACGTTAGATGCACCAACGTGCACTCAAGCGCATCCGACACTTGTTTCACAAAATAGATAACCAGAGTAATTGAAGATTGGAATAGATGTAAAAAGTTCCAGGTGCATGAAACAAATAAATAATCTGCTTTGCAATATAAAAAATTAAAAAGAACCATAGAATTCCGGACTTCTAAATTTCACCACACATAGTCATAAGAAACGGCAGATGCCACACGTAGAACGGTAAAGGCCACATGACATAGTAGAAAGAGAGCACACGCCATAAATCGTAGGCATAAGCCAAACGCGCACGTGGCTATTAAAACAGCACCACACACGCCATAGTTAGCTGCCATGAAGCAAGCGCACGTGGCTAAAAGGACACAGCACATGCCATAGGTAGCCGTCATGAGGCAAGCACACGTGGCCAAAACAACAGCACAGGGCGTGCCGCACTCGCACAGCAAGCTGTCGCGCCGCACCAGCGCCAGTGAGACGCTGCGCTACGTCACGTACTCGAAGCGTCAACGGGAGCAGCACCCGAGATCTCACAGGCATCGTCGGGGTTGTAGTCATCGTGATCTGCGTGAAAAACAAGTTGTTAATTATCAAGACAACATACACCGTTGCCTATTCTCTCATCCATCACGCATACGAGGCCCTCAAACAGAAATACGCTGTCATACCGCAGACTACAATAAAGAACTTCGCTTTCACAAGTATCCATACATCTCTATACGAAGTATCTCGTACATACTCTTACTTGATCTTGCAAGTTTCCACGTTAAAGACGTGAACCAGGACAGCGCCTGCCAGGACAGCGCCTGATGCATGTTCAGAAAACACTACTTCCGCACACACAGCGCCGCACACACAACGCATCGCACACAGCGACCCAGGACAGCGCCTGCTAGGACAGCGCCTGATGCATGTTCAAAAAAACACGACTTCCGCGCACACAGCGCCGCGCACACAGCGCATCTCACACAGCGACCCAGGATAGCGCCTGCCAGGACAGCGCCTGATGCATGTTCAAAAAAACAAGACTTCCGCAGCACCGCCATCCACAGCATACGCGCGCTCCGGGACGGCACCTGCCACGCGTGCAACACACGCGCCTGCCGAAACCAGGCCGCGCTACAGCTGGACCCGGCAGTCCGCTCCAATCAGCAAGGCACACACTCGCCTCACACTCGCGCACATGTACACACATGTGCTACTGTAACACACAAAGGAAAACATATTAAAAGGATTCAGTCGGAACACACTTTCAAAAAAATGCAGCACCACTCTCGGGACACCATTCGCCTATCCAGGGCACCATATACCGAGCTGTGGCCTGGATAATCTTGCGTCTAACTCCAGATAATAACTTCAGCTCGTACCACTTGGTAACATTTTGGTAACTCGGTATGGACCCTTTTGTGTTCCCTGTCGATTCAAAAGGTTGCTCAGGAAAACGCAGTTGATTTTTCAACAAAATATCCTGATTCAATGCTTGACTTGCCTTTACATAAATTTAAAATACAGAAATTATTAAATAAATGTTACTCATCCCAGGATAAAGTTTCCCAAGCGCTCGGCGGCGCCCGGCCGTCCCGCCGTAAGATCGGCCAAAAAACGGCAGTTAGTAGCGGCGTAGCCTCAACCATACCAATGCTCGGCCACGCACCTGACCATGTCCAACTAGCCGTCTACCATTTGGAGTAAACTATAACACTTATCAACACATTAGTATACAAACAGGCTTTTTTTTTTCAATTCATAACACGTTAATGTTAATCCTTTGTTTGATATATCGCTTATTTCGTAGGCTACCTATTTTCATATCATTTCACAAAACATCAAAACTCGACAGTCAACAATTACAAGAAAACTCGAACGAGTTAAGTTTTCACTGGATGCAAACTAACACATTTAGTTAAAACCTCTTTTCAATATTGATTTCAACATTTGTTAACATATTTGGGTACGTTAAGGAATAACAAAAGTAAATGTGGGTACTTCTAATATAAATCGACAAATTGAACAAAGAGATTTAACTTATTGCTCAAAACATTTGACTAAGCTTTTACTTCACACAATTAAACAAAAGGATTTAATTTTTGGCTTAAACATTTCACTTGTAAACTTTCACTCTACACTTTAATGATTCGTCAATGTCGTAAATACGACTACAAACTTGATTTAATTTCTTAAATTCTGATTTCTCAAACATAAAAACAAGACGCAAGGCACGTCAGTCTTTCACAGACGTAATAACTCTCACACTATTCAAAGGTTATACGTGGACAGTGACAGGGACTTTATCCCACTTCTGATTTTAGAAACTATTCCACTTCTGATGTTAGAAATTATTCTCAAAATTATAGAACCACATCCCTTGTCTTATTTGGGCAGAATCTCAGTGTAGCAGTAATGTTTTAGCCCAACGGGCATAATAACGATATGAGACTCGTAGAATTACAGACTGACTGATCTCGCTTAGTCGACTGCGTGATACTTTATACCATATATATAATGTACTCTGTGCTTTATACTGCTAAAACAAGTGGGAGATTATAGTTCTACCTTCAATATTTCTTATTTCTTTTTATTATTTTACCCTCATTCCTAACAATATATTAAACAATAATTGTATTCCAAATTTGATGTTTCTATGTCTGCTAAAAGTGCCTTAGAGTTTTGATGATCGGTCAGTCAGTGAGTGACAAAATGAAGAAACTTTGACTAGTTATAATTCTTAAACTACTGGTTCAAATTTAATGAAATTTGAAATATACCGAGTTTATACAGATATGCCCTAATGACATTTTTTAGGAAATCTGAATTATTTAAAATTTTAAATCTTTTAGAGGAAATGCAAGCTTTATTGGATATTGATTTCGCGTGTTTGCAAGTTCCCAATAATTGATTATGAGTTCTTTAACATCCATGTTTCGATGTTTGACATGTGGTAACATCGATATTAAAACATAGATGTTTTAAATATTTAAAATCGATGATCTCTAACGCAACCTTCAACATCCCTAACTCTTTGATATGTAGCATAGATAAATAAAAATGTAGGAAGCTAACTATACCGTAGATAGAAGATACTATGTCTATGAACTATAAGTACTCTGTGACATACACTATAAGTCACAGAGTAGGAGTACCTTTGTATAAACCGCGTAGTGTTTCTATATTATAGTTTGTGGTATAAACCGAAAGTAGGAAAGTAGCTATAAGTAACGTACCTAATAACTTCAGGGATTTGTTGTTGTTTATGTCTTAAAAATACTCCGATTGCAATCAACAGTTATGAAAAATCCGTGCAAGATGAGTTTCTTAGACATTGTCAAAGTTCTTTAAATGTTTTTATTGAATTAAAGTGCTATTTTTCCTTGTGAGTGCCGTGATGATATTAGATTTTTGAGACACTGTCAACAAAACTTTGAAATGTTACCTGCGTTGATGTATAATATGGAAGGATCATCAAATTTGAACAATAGTTCAAATAACTTCTGTAGTGTTTACGATGAAAATATAATTTTAAATAGTGTGCGGAATCGGAAGAAAGTGTCTGAACAGCCTAACTGTCCGGTGTGCAGTTGTACAATCCGACAAGGGGAGCTAGAGGCCCACCTTGCTTTGGAAGTAGAGAGACTGCAGAAACTATCTAGTGGTTCTAAACGAAAACTTAGTGTAAATAGCCCTTTATCTACTACAAACATAGCAATACCTGGATCTAGTTCGTCTGTAGATCTTCAAAGTGATCAAGATATTGATGTGTCTGGTTGTCCGGGGAGTGATGTATACCATGTGAGTATTAAAATAATATCAATAATAATTAGTTTTAGTATTAATCGGTTCCTTGTTCCATGAATCATATATGAAAATTTCGATTGTTTACCTATTGTATTTATATCACGAACAGGGAAACGTGGTAGAGCCATGCAGCAGCTATATTAATAGTATAGTTGTAGCACGAATGGGTCGGCTCGACTGGGGAAGGACCCTGCTCTCACAGAATACCAGTGTAAAATAGCAACTTAATGCTGCTGTGTTTCGTATGGTGTGTGTAGAGAACTGGAGATCCATTTTACTGGAAAAGAGGCATTCTATCTTAGTCCTCACGGCTGACAACGCATCTGCATTTTAAGCTTATATAAGTAATTTTACTACTCTTAAAAAACATCAGCCACTAGTTTGAATATCTCTGCAAAAATAAAAAAGCAAGAGTGCAGTTCACAAGCGGTAGAAGTGAAACTTTCAGAAAACTAAACTTCGAGAGAATGAGACAAATCGTCTCATTCTCTCATCAGGAGTAGGATAACTGTAATTATTATAATATTGTTACTGTATATAAGTGTCAAAATTACTTAATATTTTATTCTATATATTTACATTACATATTATATAGATTTAAAGTTTTCAAGTTCATCAGTGAAAACTTGTAAAATACTTAAATATTTTCTAGTCAAGAAATTTTCTCCGTAATCTTTACTTTTCATAGATCATGCATAATATGCAAGCGTCAGTAGCCTAATGGCAGGACGTAGACCGCAAACTCGAAAGGTCATGGATTCGAATCTGCCATTCGACTACTGTCTTGAACCACTTCTAACACATGCATTTTAAGCTTACCAGAAGTGGTTAAAGATAATATTAGTAATGTTTAATAGCATTACAAGTATTTAAAATAAAATCCCCATAAGTCAATTCTATGTCATTCTCTTGTAGGCTAAATCCTATAGATGTATTTCTTTTTAGTGTCACTTTTGTTTCAAATCACGTTTCTAAAGAAGTTTTCAGTTCAACAATAGAAATTTATTAATAACTTGAGTAATAAAATATACATGAGAAATATAAGATATTATTAGTAAGCCTCGGGCAGATCAGGTACATCACCACATTGTAGATTCTTGTAAAATTCGTGAAACATGAATGGAATCCACTGTAAAGATTTCTGTAAATTGTAGTATTTATCTCTGGAAATGGGCTTCGTGTCTCTTGTATAGGGTATAGCATAGGCATAAGCATGTACTGGTAAATAAAAAATCTGAAATCAACTTCTTACTGAAAGATTTTTATTTATTCTGTTATTTATTATTATGTAACTTCTTTAATAATATAATTAATTACTAACACTAGGCTTTGTTATCATCTAATTATACTAATTATGTTTAATATGATCATTGTTGGTCAAAATAAGGAAATTATTATTATTATTATTGTAGAAAATCTTCTTTTATTTTTAATAAAACTTACCATTTCAAAGGTATTCAGGTTAAAAGATATAGGTATATAGATAATAGGGTACAGTTTTGTCTGTCTTAGATTTCTTTATATGTACAAAAGGAGCTGATGATTCCTTACATATAGTAGAAAAATCCATAGTGATCAGATTCCATATTTACTATTTTAATAGTTGTTTTTTAAACAGTTCTTCATAAATTGTTGTCGATCCCATGGAATATGGGAGTAAGGGACAATGAGAAGAGTCTAGAATTCTTTTTTTTTTGTGTTCTATGATTGTGTGGATTATGCTCACTTCAGTATATCCTTTTAGTAAATATTTATGGCTTATTACCCATAAATTTTATTTTTGCAATAATATCCACAGGTAAGCCATAATTAAGGAGATATTTTTATTAGGCTCCGCACAGTTATCATTCCAAACAGTTACTTCTTCCACATTATCCTCAAGATGGTCTAAATACTTAACTATTCCTGAAGCGATCTTGTTACCAACTCGTTTTTCCACAGTCTCGTTCCACATAAAGCACAAGCTTTTCTTAGGCACCAAATTCATAATTGTGAAATTAAAAGTCCACAACTTTCTGTAATAGAAACTTTGACTATTAGTCAAATTACAGTGTGGGTATTTGGAGATCTACCGTTAATATAATAATAATAATAATAATAATATTTTTAGTTGCATAAAACATGGTATATAATAGATTTTACAGAACGTTTCAGATCAGCATGTTTTGCTACGGTTATTCATAGCATGCAAATTTTTTTACATTAATATTTTTGGCTACAAAAATCCTTAACACTATAGAAATTACAATTATTTAGCCACTGATATAGTTTTAATTTAAATGATCTTGTATTTAATATTTTATTCTCTTAGAACCCTGACTTTCAATTGCTACAACTTTATTAAATGCTTTAAGGATGTACCATAAATTGGTTTCCTCCAGAAGATGTTTATTGTGTTGAACTTTAAAAGTCTTCTTGTTCTTCTCAAATCTACAACTAACTACCAAGCCATCACATTTGTCACATGTATCATTGGCTAGAGGATTCCTATATCCTATTTTGTGTTAAAAAGATATCTATAGAGCCATGCTTTTGCTGTATTCTTCTTCAATATACTACCCTCTTCAGCACAAAATACGACACAAAGCATACAGTTTTTCAATATTCAGGTGGCTTCCAAGATACTGTCTGTTAGTTCTGTTTCAACTGTTATGGCTTTCAAGAACACAGCGCTTAAAGTTATTATTTCATATTTAAGTAATAGAATGCAGAAAGTTGTTATCAATGGCAAAAGTTCTTCAGGGTCATCCGTAAAGATGGGTGTCCCTCAGGGCTTGATTCTTGGCCCATTCCTATTTTTAGTGTATATTAATGACTTACCTTCCCTTGTAGGGGATAATCATGATATAGTATTATTTGCTGATGATGCTTCCTTGATTTTTAAACTTAAACGTCTATCATTTAAATGTGACGAAGTGAATAATGCTATATCAAAATTAGTGCATTGGTTTAACATTAATAATCTACATTTAAACTGCAATAAAACTAAATGTATTAAATTTATAACAACAAATGTTAAAAATTTGAATACCAATGTGTTTTTAAATAGGCAAGAACTGAGCCCTGTTGAATCCTCTGTTTTTCTTAGCATCACTCTTGACATAAAGCTTCAGTGTGGCCCCCATATATCCAAAGTAGCAAGCAGACTAAGCTCTGCAGGTGATGCTGTAAGAATGATTAGAGATTTCATTAGTGTCGCGACAGCTAGATAAGTTTATTTCAGTTATTTCCATAGCATAATGTCTTATGGGATTTTGCTATGGGGATGTGCGGCTGATTTAAAAACTATTTTTGTTTTGCAGAAGAGGGCCATAAAAGCTATTTACAACCTTACACAGAGTATTAGAGAAAAATTTATAGAAATAAATATATTAACTTTAGCCTCTCAGTATATTTACGAAAATTTACTGTATGTTCACAGAACCAAAGATATTTTTAGTAAAAAAAGTGATATACATTCTGTAGACACTAGGAACAAACACAAGCTAGTAATACCAGTCTCGACTCCACAGAATCACTAATTCATTCTTGGGGCAATGTATACATTATTATAACAAAGTCCCAGAAAATATACCAGGTATCTCTATTACCAAGTTTAAATATTTATGTAAATAAAAACTGTATAAAAAGGGTTATTATAATATAAATGAATACATGGTTGATAATAACCCCTGAGAATGAGGTGGTCGCTTCCAAGCTGTTTCTAAAATAAATTTTGTAAATAGTTTGTAATCATTTATATTGTAAAATTTATTTTTAAAATAAGTCCCGCTGGGTTTCTTGCTGGTTCTTCTCAGGACAGGGGATTTTTTTTCGAATAAGTGGTAAATTAAAAAAATGACTTTCAATAAAAATTACTTGTAATCTATACTGAATAAAAAAATATTCTATTCTATTCATATTTTGGTATCTTGTCAATATGTTTGGGAACTATTTCTTTAATTATCTCATGTTATTTTATTAGGCGGTGGATGTTTTCCTCATCTGTCTTCTTGAACAAATATATGTATAGATTTTTTCACAGCATTTCACACTACAGTCTCAGATATAGCCAGTGTTGAAAAAAAAATGTTTTACATTACATTTCTTTTCAGGTTGGTCGTCAATTAAAAATATATTATAATGTTTATAAATACCTATTTCAACTTTATTCAAATATTTTAAAATAAATTATTTCACAAACAATACTATGATACTAGACTAACTTACATAGGTCGCAAGGCGGCAGCGGCTGTGGCAAGAAACATATCCAAGGAACAATATTAAGTAGACCTCATTGGTCTTTGTAAACACAACTGCTGAACATTAAGTCCTGGGTTGGAATCCCCGATTGGGCCAAAAAATCAGTTATTGAGTTTTGGCATCAAGAAATCATCAGTAGCCGAAGACAGCAAGTTGGCAGTGTTTCACCCCCGTGCCTCCAGTTGTGTCGGTTTACCGTCCCCTTGAACTATGAGAGTTAGGGATTAGAGTGCCTCCCTGTCCTGTGCTGATGGCTAGTCTCCAGTGAAGCAGGCCACTGTGACCAAAAAATTGATGTTATTATTGTATACCTGTGAGATACAGATTTAAAACCTTTAAAAAAATTACTTCGCAAATATCCGCGTTATAAAATAAAATGATGTGTCTTACCTAGTATGAAGAGCACCTCCCGCCCTCCCTCAATTGCGTGCACTATCCCCAACACCACTACAGCGGTTAGCCACCGTAGAGTCTATATCACCTGAGGATGCCTTGTGTAGAGGCGAAACACGTGTCGTATTATCGTCAGTGGTGTGTCTTAACAGTGGTAGAGCCACGCGGCAGAATTGCTGTCGCACGGATGGGCCGGCTCGAACCGGGGTGGTACCACGACCTCACAGAATACCAGCGTGAAGTAGAGGTTTACCTTTGCGTTTCGCTTGGTGAGTGCAGGTGGCCGGAGGCCCTTTTTACGGGAAATGAGGCATTCCATCTTAGTCCTCACGGGTGACAACGCATCTGCATTTTAATTC